AGGGTTGCGATCCGTTGCTGGTCACGAAAAAAGACAAAAAGGAAAAAAAAAAAAAAGATGACCAGTAAGGGGATCTAACCCTTGACTTGGTGTTGTCAGCACCATGCTCACCCAGTGAGCAAACCGGCCATCCCTATATGGGATCCGAACCCGCGGCCTTGGTGTTATCAGCACCGCACTCTCCCGAGTGAGCCACAGGCCGGCCCCCTCTGGCCCTCTCCTTTTATCACCATCACAGCCCCTGTATGAGGAACTGCAGAGGACTGGCCCCATTTGCAGAGGGGACAGCAGAGGCCCAGATAGGGGACTTCACTTACCCAGTCAGGGTGTCGCAGCCCTACTTAGCTTCCTGACCCCTACGTGGGTGCTGTCTGAAGGGCATGGACCATGTCCATTCACCTGTGGCCCCAGTGCCAGCACAAGGTGGGAGTGAGGATGCGATCACTGTGGTGCTTCAGCCCACCCTTGCCCAATCTCCCTTCTTAACCCTTCTTCCAATTTTTCACCTTGGGAACTCTGCTGGGGACGCCAAAGATCAGGACACAGCGCAGGCCCTCTTCCACCAGGGGCCTCAGCATCTCTTCCAGCCGGTTCACACCATACCTGGTGGGGGTAGAGTGGAGGGGCTGAAGAGAAGCAGAACACAGGCAAGGGTGCCCCCGACCCCTCTGCACTGTGCCTCTGTTAAGAGCCAAGTTGCACATAACACCAGGAGGGCTCAAGCCCCATGGGAGAGGGAGGGGCAGGACTGTACCCACCCATCAGGTGGGAAAACCGAGACCCTGAGTGGCAAGAGCGTGGAATTCACTCTTATGGAACTCCCAGCTGAAGTTCAGCTCCCTTCCGCAATAGCCTCTGTTATGATGCCTCTGGAGACGGGCAACTCATTGCTTTACGAGGCTGCGTCTTTTGGTGTGGAACAGCTTCAACTCTGCGGAAACCCTTCTCTCTACTGAGCTGAAGGCTACCTCTGCCTCCTGGCACCTCCACCTGTGAAATCTCTCCTTCTACCATCCCTTTGCCCTCCCCTCCATATCTCCTACCTGGCCACTCCTGGGAGGCTGGCAATAGGCTGGACGTCATCAGGAACATCCCTGCAAGAGTGGGGGGTGGGCTATGGAGTGGTAGCTGTGGGAAGGGCTGGTGGTGAGGGGATGACTGCGAGGGATGGCTGGGAAGCTGGGAAGGAATATGGGAGTGGAGATGATGGGAAGGGGATGGGATCCAGTGTCTGGCTCCCCTGCCTGGCCAAGCCCAGGGCCTGAAATAATAATAGGAACAACAAGAGTAATGGTGACAACAAGAGCAACTGGACTAAAAGAACAGTAACCACAGGAAGGAGTCAAATGGTTAAGAACGAGGACTCTGAAGTCCTATCCCAGTCACTTACTGACTCAGTGACAACAAGAGCAACTGGACTAAAAGAACAGTAACCATAGGAAGGAGTCAAATGGTTAAGAACGAGGACTCTGAAGTCCTATCCCAGTCACTTACTGACTGGTTGACCTTGAAGTTATAACATCTCTTTGAGCCTCAGGCCCTTCATCTGTATCCTGGGTGCACTCATTCATTCATTCAACGAATATTTATTGAGCACTTATTATGTGCCACGTTCTGTCCTAGGCTCTGATGATACAACACTGAATTATACAGACAAAAATCCCTGCCTCGTGGACTTGACATTCTAGGGCTAATATCTATTCTTTCCTCATAGGAATAGTGTCAGAATTAAATGAGATAATATATGTAGGTGCTTAGCATAGTCCTTGGTACATAGTAAGAGCTCACTAAAGCTCTGCTGATGCTATTATTAATAATCACAATTGCCACCTCTCACATGTACATAACACTTTACAATCTACAGAGCACCTTCTCGGCTTCTGTCTTATTGTAAGAGCTCAGAATGGCAGGCAAGGATTATTCTTATTTTCCAAATGGGATGATTAAATTCTTTTCAAGGTTTATCTTGTTCTTAGGACTGCTGTCTTTAACTCAGGAGGCCACTTCCAATACCTTGAGTTTCAAACTGACAGCCCAAATTGTCACCCTCAGCAATCCCGATGCCCATTCCAGTCCACCTCCCTGGCAGATCAGAGGCCTGGCCCATTCCTGGGGACTCACGTGACAAAGATGGGGTAGATGAGGTTGGAGGCATTGAGGGTGGTGGCGGTTGTCTGCCAGGCCCGAAGCAGTGGGTGGAAGTAGCCGCTGTGCAGAACAGACTGGGGCTGCATGGTGTGGGCAAGTGGGTCACAGGGCCGTCAGCTGGATGGACTCGAGGGCACTTGGGGAGTCTGCTGCGTGCTCAGTCTACGGGGGATGACCAGAGGCACGTGAGGTATCATCCCTGTCCCTAGGAAGGAGTCACATCTGGAATACTGCTCTTCCAGATTCCTGCTACCCTGCCCCCCAGTCCAGTGCTACTCATAGCATGGTTCACCAATCCTTGCTGGTCTATCACAAGATAAGTAGGGAAATGATAGCAAGCTTTTTAGAGCTTTCACACCAATCTGAATCTAATAATACAAAAATTGGGCTTGTATTTTATATGATTATTTTAAAAATTACAATTTTCTAGTAACTTATTTTTATTGTCCTTTATCAATCAGTGGATTGGAAAGAAAAAAGAAAGAAAAAAAGAACTGATCCTTCCCTATGCATAGTTTGAGAAGCACTGATCTAGCCAATATTTAAACTTTGTCTATTCCATGAAAAATGTCCAGGTTCATGGCAGAAATTTCAGAGAAGTACAGATAAGCAAAAAGAAAAAAATCCCCTGTAATTTTATAGTAATCCTATAGAGAAAAGCATTGTTAACACCTTGGTATGTGGACTTCTTCTCAGTCCCCTGTAATTTTATAGTAATCCTATAGAGAAAAGCATTGTTAACACCTTGGTATGTGGACTTCTTCTCAGGTATAGCACACACTAAGAAGATCAAATAGCACTGTGCATGGACAGGCAGGCAGGCATGCAGTCACCCCCCCCCTTCCCAAAGAATGGCCACTATAACTGTCTCTTCTAGCCCCAGGAGCCTCCTGT